TATGCATGTTCCAGCCTCACGACAGTTTAGCAAGTAAAATTTATCTATATGCATTAAACTACAATCACTTAGGACATTGCCCTGGTCGTTATCAATGCTAAACTTAAAAATCATTTTTATTCATATTAGAGTAACACTATTGATTTGCAGGTTGCAAACTTGATTGGCCGGAACTTGTGCTTGGATTGCTTGCGGAAAAGCGCCAGTCTAACGTCTCGCGTTGAAGCAATAAAAAACAGTCTCTTATCAACGATTAAACTTGCTAAGAAACTAGTGCTTGAAATATGTAAATTATTTTTAAACACTGCTGCTAATATAGGACAGTTGAAGGCGTTGTGAGGAAGCTGATTCTTGTGAGTTGCACACTTACACTATGATGTTGACTTATATATTGTGCGAACATGGCTGTTTTTGTCATCTTTGTTTAAAATTAAATGATCAGTGTTTAGAAAATTGCTCAGTTCATTAGTTTCTGCAGTTGTGTTGAGCTTGTCGTTTCGTGAATAGTTCTAAGTACGTAGTGACGTTCTTTAATCAGTGAAGTGACGATGATGTCCGCGGTACATGATGCAGAGTCCCATAAATTTGGACTTGTTTCTCTGCATCCGTAAAACATGTGCCTGCAGATTGAAGTTGGGTCTCGAACCTTTTCATGGTGTCATTCTGGCCACGGTATTTAATATCAATGAGGCGATAGTGCGTCGGAATCACAGTAAAAAGATTCTGAATTCGAACATCCGTCATATCCCTTGCTTTTCATTTTTCCTTGTAATTAGACTTAGTCTTGAAAAGTAAGGCAGCAAAGCGCCTTTGGAGGACGACATAAAGGTGGAGCTAAACGTCGCGTCCATGCACTCTGAAGAAAGGGTACAGTTGAAGTGTAACACTGAGGTAACATTGTAACACTGACTAAGTTTTTCAGTGAGGTTTCAAGCAGGAACCGATATTTCGCATCTACTCGATTTTGTTAAGACATGAAGTTCAAACTTTAGTACCGCTGTCAAGGTTTGTCAGCGCCAGCATCTAACGGTTCTTTAGTGCTTGATTCCATCGAATTCTTCAGTTTTCTGCAGATTTGTTTTGTGAATATATTGGCTACCTGCCAGTGTAAAGCGCTCATTCCCATACCAGTATAATTCGATGTATTGCCCAGGTTTAGCGAACTTCCATTAGTGTCCTGGGTAGCTCTTCAACGGCGTCGTTACACCGTGTCAAAATTGTTATTGTTTTGCCACTGAATGAGCAAACGAGGCACAAGACATTAGCCGAGAATTTAGCTGGTCAAC